CAAATGTATTCTTCTGTTGGGTATCAACGTGTTCTACCTTAATGCACTCCTCCCCAAATTCCCTTGCTGGTTTTCCTATGGGTATGCCTTTAATAGGCAGTTTTCCATTGCTCTCTGTCTGGCCATATGGTCAGGCCACTGGTCACCATCCACAAAGCAGTAAAAACTCAAGCGGGGGATTTTTATCTTTGTTCAATTCTTCCATCACTATAAGGAAAGTAACACATAATATTTCTCATTAAACTGGTTTGTTTTTATGTTCTTCAAACATAGAGGTGGTCTTCCAAATAGGATGCTGTCCATTTACCTTGAAACTGCTATTTATAAACCAAACAACTTTCTGCTGGTCATTTGAGAACTATTCACAGGGTACTATCCATAGTATAGAATCTGACACCTCCTCACAATATTCCAAGTCAGTCCTGGGGAAAAGAATCTACCTGCTCCCCCAGTAGTGTATTCCTATTGTGACATAAGAAATATGTTTCATTTCTGCTCACAGTTACTGACACAGAGGTCTTAAAACCTTTGGAACTTCCTGGGAGATACGAGTACCCTTTGTTTTATTGAGGTGACCCTTGGCGGGCTCCTGGATAGCTTTGGGATGGCCACTGGTCACCAGAAATACCAAGCCATGATTAGAGGTGGATAATTTTCAGCCTCACACTCCATCCTCCAGGGAGGGGAAATGAGCTATAGATTGACTTAATCAATTGTGTCTGTGTCGTGAAGCCTCCATAAAAATCCCGAAAAGGCTTCCTTTGGAGAGCTTCCAGGGCATAATGTCCTTAAGGTTCATCCATGTTGTAGTATATGTCAGAATTTCCTTCTTTAAGGCTAAATAATATTTCATTATGTGTATATAGAATAGTTTCTTGGTATTTATGGGGAATTGGTTACACGACCACCAAGGATACCAAAATCCAAGGGTGCTAAGTCCCTGATACAAAATGATGTAGTATTTGCATATAACCTGCACATATTCTCCCATATACTTTAAATCATCTTTGGATTACTGATAATACCTAATACAATGTAAATGCTACAGAAATGTTTTTATAAGGTATCGTTTATGAAATAGTGACAAGAAAATGAAGTCTGTACATGTTCAGTACGTACACAGTGTTTTGTGAAATATTTTTGATCCTCAGGTGGCTGAATCCATAAATGTGGAACCCACAGATATGGAGGGCTGACTATGCTACATTTTTAAATTAATTAATCTGTCAATGGATACTTTCATTGCTCCTACTTCTTGGCTATTGTGAATACTGTTGCTACATGTGTGGGTGTACAAATATCTAAGAACCTGCTTTCAAATCTTTTGGTTATATATCCACAAATAGGGTTGTTGAATCCTATGGTAATTCTACTCCTAATTTCTTGAAGAACTGTTAACTATTTTTAATAGTGGCTGTACCATTTTATACGCCCACCAGCACTACACAGGGGTTCTAATTTCTCCACATCCTTACCAACACTTATTCTTTTTGTGCTTTTGACAATAACTATCCTAATTGATATAAGATAATAAGATTATTACATTTTCTTCAGTCATGGGGCAGTTTCAATTAATGTCTGAGATTGAGCTAGTAATCGACTCAGATGTAAATTCTCCACTTCAAAGTCCCTGTAGTTGTTGGTTGGAGGCCCTCCAGGCTTTTGCCACAAGCCCTAATCTACCCTCCGCACGGGTCCATTGTACACAGAATTTGTGCATCCTAGCACTTCAGGTTTTATTCTACACTGTGTGAGCTTGAACAATCTTGTTCCTTCCTATTTAGCAAATATAATCAATATTGCTTAAAGGTGGAATTTATATGCCTTGTGTTTTATAACACTAGGCAGGGAAGCATTCCCCAGTCAGACACAATATCCATTCCCAAAATACATTCAGGTAAAAGAGACACAATCATTTCACATAAAGCCCATGTAAGCATTCCAGTTTTCACCCAAACTTTGATATTGATCCTATCATTTTTTTGCAGAGCAGAGACCCTGTTTTAGGGGCCTGTGCAACCCCTCCCCTACAAATATGGAAATAAAGGAAAATCTGGAGTTCCTTTAAGGGAAATTCCATGCACCTAGCTAGCCCTGAGGAATGAAGTGAAGGAACTTCATCAAATTCCTTAAATGAATAAGGAAATTAATAAGCAAGAAAGTAATAGGAACCTAAAACAATAACCATGGAAGTTAGAGTCAGGAGATTTTTTGTTCCCCTATAGACACTAAATATAATGTCTTAACATATGTCCCTGAGTTGTCTTTCCGAAACCCAGATCCCACCAAACAATTCCACAGGCAGGTAGAACTCAGATAAGAGGGAACTGAGGACTAAACTCTGACAATCATTCTTTGTTCTAAATATCTTCCTGAGGGGCCTGGATGGAGTCACACTCAGGAGCCAAAGCTCATTCTTCTCTGCTGACTGCAAATTCTCTTCCTTCACCAACTGCACATCAGAAAATCTTTGAATCTACCTATGACCTGTAAGCCCCCCGACTTCAAGAGCTATCTCTCTTTTGGGCCAATACCAATGTGTAACCTCCATGTATTGACTTATGATTTTGCCTGTAACTTCTGTTTTCCTGAAATTTACACTTTCCTTTAAAAATCTTTACCTGTAAGCCATCAGGGAGGTCAGAATTTAAGAGTAGCTGCCTGGTCTTCCTTGCTTGGAGCCCTGCAAATAAATGCCCTCCTTTTTCCTGTTGCACACCTCGGTGTGGATATCTTGTCTTATTGTGCCAGGAGAGCATATCTCAGGTTTGATTAATAAGTGGCACAAGTGAACCATCTGGAGTGATGGAAATGTTATAGATTTTAATGTGGGTCATGGTTACATGGATATACAAATATATAAAAGTTAATCAAGCAGTAACTTATAAAGTAAATTTACTTTATAAGTAAATTCATTTATAAAATGTGATTTTATAAGTAAATTTATAGACAGCATTTTTAAGTTAGCATTCAATAAAAACATTAAGGGCAGTCATTCAAAAAAGTAGAAATAGAAGGCATAACTTCTTCCATAGTAGAGGAAAAAGAAACAAAGACAAATCACTTATTACAAGAAAAGGCATGAAAGATGGAAAAAAGGAAGAGGGAAAGGCATGGCTGATAGCAAAGATTTAGGAAGAAATCGCAAAAGTACTGAAAGATATAAGCGTCACACAAAATGGACTAAGGAAAAAAGATTTTTACGAATGATGAGGATCATTACATAAAAAAGGTATTCACCAGAATACGTAGCAATTCTCATTTTTTATATATCTCAAAATATAACCTTAAATTACATGAAGCAAAAACCAGACATAAAAACAGAGAAATTTACAAATCCACAATTATGGTAAATTTTAAGAGAGTGCTAGTGTTTGCCAATTCTATCAAATAAAAAATAAGTTAGAAAAGGGAAGATTTAAATACCACAAAATAAGAGAGAACTTTGTCAAACATTTAGAGAATACACTTTCTGCTCAGTATATATGGAACATTAATTACACCATATTAGGTCACAAAGCAAGTCTCAATGAAAAACAATGGATATCGTACTGAGCATATTATAAAATAACCAACAGGTACAGATGTTTGAAAATTTACAAACATACTTCTTTAATACATGGTCCAAAAAGGAAATAATAAAAATGAGAAAATATTAGGAACTGAACAACAGTGAAAACAACATATATAACTGCTCAAGGCATGATATTAACCGGTGCCTAGAGAATAAGTTTTAACCTTAAATATAACAATTAGAAGAAATACTTTTTAAACTCTTAATGTGCTAAGTGCCTTATTTAAAAAATTAGAAGAGAATAATATAAACAATAAATCCAATAAATGTAGAAAGAATAAAGACAATAGCACCAAATAAAATCAAAACAAGATCGAAAAGGCTAAAACCTGATTATTTTTAAAAGATCAGTAAGATAAAATTTAAACTTGTAAACTGTTATTACTCTATTTTTCAATAATTGAAAAATGATTTTTAACTTAATAATTTTAGTAATAATTAAAATTTAACTATTTTTTTTCTGTTTGAAAATGGTTTGGGTAACTTAGGTTTGGGATCATTATAATTGTTCTCATTAAAAGAAACAGAAAAAAATTTTTTCCACCTAACGGCTTTTCCCTGAGCTTTCAGGAGGCCATTAAAGCCGTTAAGCCCGGGTCAGGTGAATAGGAAGTTAAAGACTAAAAAGGAGACATAGAACTGCCGACTTTCCCGACGGCGAATCTGCCCTCCGCAGGCAGCCGACCAATCACAGGCAGTAGGGGCGGGCCCTGCAGCGGGCTAAGGCAGCGGTTCCGGGGACTAAGCCACTACGCGCCGCCCGACCGGTAGGAGCCGCCCTAGACGAGCGAGCTCGAAG